TAGTTTGCCAGGTATGAGGCCTGTGAAGCCCCTACTCGCTCAGCTATTTTGAAAAACAAAGACATCTTGATTGCTCCATTTATTTTCAGAAACCAGATTCTAGGTCCAAACAAAGTTCTTTACAAAGTTTTTTGTCCCGCACTGCCCTTTACTTCATTCACACCACCCTAGGCACTCTGACTATTCCCCTGTCTGGAATGTTCTCACCCCTGCTATTTCTCTCACTTTGTTCAGATCTCTGCTTAACTGTCACCTTACCAATGAAGCCTTCCCTGATTACCCTATGTAAAAAGCACTACCACCTCCGGGCTGTCCACTTGTCCCTATTAAAAAAAAAGCCAAATCTATTGCTGTCGAATTGATTCTGATTCATGACGACCCTATTTGTACCTTGTTTCATTTTTCTTCATATCACTACTGTTTTCACGGTCAGAAATAGTATGTGACACATAGTAGGTATTCAATAGATATTTGTTGAGTTAATGTGGATTTAAAAAACTGATTTTTTAAAAAATGTCCTGAGTCACTTTTCAATTTCCTTGTCATCTAGTTTCTACCCTGCAACTCACTATGTCCACCTGGCACCTTATCCCTAGTTTCCAAGGTTTCATGTCCCTCCTCCAGCACATACTAATACATATATGTGCACACACACAGTCAGTCACACTCACCCACTTTGGCCCAGGCAGGACATCCAATTTCCCCTAACTCCCACAACATCATTGCCCCACCCTTACTCTGTTCAAATATCTAACTCCATTGGGATCAGTCCAGATGGGTGACCTCACATCTAAAGAGGGCTCCTTTTCTGGCCCTCTCAAGGACTTCCTGACTTTAGTTCCATCAGATAGAGCAGTGAATGTAGGAACCATTTTTTCCCTTTGAGAAACTGTTTTAATTCTGGAATCCATATTTCTGGATCCATGGAATTGACCCAGGAGCCCTTAGTACTCCTTTTGAACCCTGAACTTTTAAGGGACTATTCTTAAAGTCACCTTCAAGTCAAACAATAGCCTAGTAAGCAATTTAGCCTAGATAGTTTTACCTTAGGCATTGGGCTCCTCTGGAGAATTACGACGACTTTAGGAGATTACCCTGCCCAGAACCTGACTTGCTTGATTTCACTATCCCCTCTTTGGAGCACCTTCCTGATACCTTTAGGTTGATACCTGATTAAAATTGTATCCACTCACAATAAATATATTGTTACACTAATTTCTGGTGTTTCTCTGAGCATTTAGGTTTTTTGACACCTTCTTTCCCAACAATGCTTATCCTCCTTGTGTTCAGGCACCCCCCTTGGACGGCCCACTGTCCATCTTACATCTTATCATCTACACACACAAGTGACAGTCCATTGAACAGAGATGGAAGGAAGTATGAAAGGAAGAAAGGGAGGGAGAAAAAAACAGGGACAGAGAGGGAGAAGGAAAACAGATACACAAACTCTGGATGTAGGGAGTAGAAAGGTTACTTGTAAAATTACATCTCTCAATTTCTGCATTGGATGGCTGCCTATATAGTGTATCTCCTGGGACTCTGTAAACGGACTCTTGTATTTTCTACTCCTCCATTCCCACCTGCTCAAGGGTTTCTTTTTGATGAGACAAGGCCCAAGTTTGGAGCTTTGTCTCATAGTTAGAAGCTAAGCTGTAATTTATAAATACTCCTAGGAGAGGTCATACATTGATTTAAAATAATGCTAAAGTAGAACTGACTGATTATTAGAGTCTTAAGTTTTGGAAGGAAGAAGAGAAGGGGCTCTAGGCACCTAACAGCAGTAGGGAGAAGACACCAGGTAATGGAAAACTTAGCTAAAAGTTTTATCTCCTACCCAATTCTGTTGAAGGTTAAACATGATGGAATGAGAAAGGAAAAGCTGAAAAGGGGGGGGACTACAATTAATGAAGTCTGGGCTGCAGAGCCTTCACTAAGGTAACCCCCCCCCCCACACACACACACAACTGTGGGGTTTATTAGGAAAGTAACATGTTACAATTCAGGATCAGAAATGACTCAGGATACAGTTCTTTAACCAAGGCAGCCTTTTCTCAACTGTGCATCAGACAGTCTTCTCTCTGGTCTTTGGTCTCCTGAGAGGCCTCTTAAGCCTGGACTCTGCCTGCTCAGGCAAGTGACACAAAGCTCTTTCAGCCCTGCCAGTCATCGTGGGGAATAACTACATCCAGCTGCCCAGACACTCAAAAGCACGGCCCAGCCAAATTGACACAGAAGTTCAACTACCCATTAGGGTCAAAGGACATGCTCTGCTCCTGTCCTTTTTTGTTTGTTTGTTTAGAATTTTTAAATTTTTTTATTGTGATTTGGGTGAAAATTTATAGAGCAAATTCACTTTCCATACAGCAGTTCACATACACTGTCTCATGACATTGACAATTTACCACAATGCACCAGCTCCCCTCCCATCTTCTCCAGATAGTTACTTCCTTCCTGTGTCCATCCCTCCATGCACTCCTGCCCCCTAATCTGTCTCCCTGTGCATAAACAGCCCTTCTTTCTCCCATGATTTTTCTCTCCAAGGAGTGCATCTACCTCAGGTAAATATTCAACTTCTATGCCTGTCTTTTGTTTGGCTGGAAGCCACAGGTGTGGGTTCAATTCCAGACCCGAAGGGCAGCTAGGGGCCATAGACTCAGTGGTTCCACCAGGCTCTATCAGACCAGCAAACCTGGTCCCCCACTGGGGTAACTCTTGATCACATTCAAACTCCTTTTGGTTGGTGGAGAGAGGGGAGAAAAGGGGCAGTTGTATGGTAAGGTGCCCACAGAAACAGAACATCTGGAGATCAACTTAGAGGATTTTACCAAGTCTCTTCTATAAATGAGAAACAATTTTTCTTTTATTCTTTGTCTTCCTTTGACACTTTGGCTTTGCCAGTCTCTATCTTAATTATCTCTTTTCCCCTCTGTCTCCACTATTGCTTTTTCCTCCTTAATAATGATCAAGTTCTAAGAAACATGAGAAGCCCTGCTCCCAGCACCTTTTCCTGAGTCACCAGTCCCCCGCCCCCATTTTCCCCCATCCCGGAGGAAATTATTGGGAGCAAGTTTTTCTCATAGGGGCAGGCTTCACACAGCACTGATATGGCTAACAGCCAGAGTAAAGAATCAGAGATGAGTCTGGTTTAAAGTCCATCCCAGACAGTCCAAATCCCCTAACCTCAAGGGGGAGGGCTCTTCTCTCCAGAACAGCCAGCTTTTATGCAAGACATTTTGTATGTCAAAGTATCAGTCTTTGGCCTTGGAGTCAGGTCTCCTGGGTCCTGTTTTCAGCTCTGCCCCTGCGTGATCCTGATCGAGCTCTCCACCTTTTTCTTCGTGCAGGCATTAGACCCTTGACCTACCTACCTGACTAGACGCAAGAAAGATAAATGCAGGCCTAGGAGCTCTTCCAGGGTACAGAATTTAAGGAGGGGGGAGATAAGTAGTAAACCATTTCAGACCTAGAGCCTTTCCCCACTCATACCATCACAGACATGTAACTGGGGTCCCGGAGCCTCTCCGACACTAGTCTCCTAGGGACTGCAGTCCCAGACTGGCCGAAGAGCGCCATCTGGCGTCCAGTCACCCGACCTGAATTCTCTTTGCCCAGCCTAAATTACCAAAGCCAGCGCTAGACCTGGGCAGGAGTTGTCACCTCCCCCCTTTCGTCAAGATAGGGACCCCGCCCCTGCCTGGAACGCACCTCCTCCCGAAAGAATAGGCCCTAGCACTTCCCCCGTAGAAATGCCGCCCTTCCTCCCACGTGGGATGAACGCTTCCCCCGCAGAAAATTGGCTTCTTGCTTCCCCTTAGGGATCTGCCCCACCTCAACACCCAGAGAGCCTCCCCCTCCCCCACGGGAACCTGCCCCACGCCCTCTTCCTTCCCCAGAGGGAACATGCGCCGCCCCGCCCCGTCCCTCTCCAGGAATGGACTCCTCTCCTACCCACCCCCTCACAAGGAACCTCTTTCAGTACACAGAACTCAAATCCAGGTTATTAATGGGGCCTCCCCTGCTCTGGTCCTCAAGAGAACCCCGATTGGCCACAGGTTATGCTCTTCGTTCTCTCTGGTTCCCAGCCCCACAGTCCCTGGGAGGGGGCCCTAGACTTCTCCCCACCCTCACCGGTGGGCAGAACTCCCGCGGGCCCGGCCTCAGGGTGGGCGGTCTCACCGTGACGTCATTTCCGTCCGGGCCTGGCTGTGGTTCGGGCTCGGTGTGCAGAGGGGGGGCTACGGAGGTGGCAACTGTAAGAGGAGGCGGCGCGGGAGGCCGAGGAGCTCAAACCCGAAGCATTCCCCGCGTCCCGGGCCGCGATTCCTGAACCTGTACAGCACCGAGAGGCGAAACTGGCTGGATGGGCCGCTGAGCCCGATTCGGGGACCGGTGAGGCTCGAGCAGAGAAGGCAGCTGGGTCTGGGGTGGGTGCAGACCCTCGGGGCTACAGGGTCTGGGATGCTAGGAGAGGAGTAGGTGAGGGCTGAAGGTTGGGCCTACTTCTCCTGCTCTCCCGGCAGGGGGTCAGGAGCTGGGGGAGCTGCTGGCCATCGTGGCGGAGACGGGCTGTCCTGGGGGAGGCCTGGCAGCGGCCGGGTGTGAGGAGGGGGCGGGGTGATTGGGGTCTTGAATGCATGCGAGGACCGGCACTTGGATTCTCATCCAGAACAGGGGCATCGGGGAAAGGGAAAGTATGCTTCTGGCCAGGGTTTTGGGAAGAGGATGGATGTTAACGGGGGAGATAAAATACTGAGAGGCTTGGAAAAATTTTCCATGACCCTCATTGACAGGTTTGAAGAGCTCTTCTCTCCCTAGAGGGTGGGGTTGAACATCTGAAGGAGGTTTGTGGGGGTCATTTACAGTATTTGGGAGGGACAGTGTTCTGAGAGTCCTTGCACTGAGATAACACACTGAGAGAGTGTGGCCGTACTTGGGGCTGCCCCCAAGTATCTGAGTCTGTACATCTTTACAGTGTGGAACCCCCTGGAGCTAAGATCAGGATGTTTCGCTTCATGAGGGACCCCGAGCCTGAGGATCCCATGTTCCTGATGTGAGTGTTCCTTCCCCCTCATGCTCTAGAGCACTCATCCCACTCCACTTCAGGTCTCTGGGGAGTTCAGACACAAATCTAGCTTCCCATTGCTGGGAATGGTTGGAACTGGGAGGAAAATAGGTTGTATCTGTGCCACTGTTTCCTGGTGACATTTTCTTTTTTGTGTGTGGGTGTGTGGTATCAACTCCATGGTGGTTCTGCCATCCATACTATCTACTTATTTCACAGGGACCCCTTTGCCATTCACCGTCAACATATGAGCCGCATGCTGTCAGGTGGCTTTGGATATAGCCCCTTCCTCAGCATCACAGATGGCAACATGCCCGGGACCAGGCCTGCCAGCCGCAGGATGCAGGTAATGGTGCTGCACAGTACCTGAGACCCAAAGAAAGGTTAGATAGTTGTTAGTAGAACACTTCATGTTTCTTGCACTGTAGCCAACTTGGCAAATGAAATGGTCTTCTAGGAGTGAAGGAAGGTACATAAGTAAAAATCGACACAAGGCTGATCCCCAAAATAGAAAGATAATTAACATCTTCACTTTCCCACTTCATCTCTGAAATCAACTGCTTCCATGGCAGAAACTCTCTCTGACCCTAACTACCCAGAGTTAGACTTCATCTGTAGATATCCAGAGCTGGGTCAAATATCCCTGGCCACCTAAGGCCAGGTAATGGAAATTGGGTGGTGTGGTGGGGGTAGTAGGCAAAGTCTGGGAGAAGTCCAGCACCAAGGGGCTTCCATTGTGCCCAGGGACTTGTTGCACCATGCACTGATGTTGTACATCAGTGTTCTTACCAATTCTTGACACCTCCAAGAGCACTCTTGAGGTCCCTGGTCCCCTACTCACTGGGACATCACTGCATAGTAATGATCTGTCCGGACAAGAAATTCGCATTCCTGTGTAATCCCCTCCCCCTCTTCTTGACCAACCCCCCCCCCCCCCTTACCTGGATTCCTCTTCCTGAAGTTAGTTTGCCAGGTGTGGGGCCTGTGTAGCCTGTACTTACCTGGCTATTTTGAAAAACAAAGGCATCTTGATTGTTGCCTTATATTTTCAGAAACCAGAGTCAAAGGACCAAATCAAGTTCTTTGTTCCACAAAATGGGTCTGGAACAAAGGCGCTAATCCCTTTTTAAAACAAAACAAAAAACCTGGGCCTGGTTTGGGATTGTAATGAGAGGATGTGGGTTCTAATTTCTGTTCCTTATGTATTTTTAGGCTGGGGCTGTCTCCCCCTTTGGTATGCTGGGGATGGTAAGTTCTTATCTTCCCACATTCTTCCATCACAGATACTCTATAACCTTTAGATGTTATTTTTTAAATGTGGTCTCTGGAACAGCCTTGTGGATAACCCCAGGATTTTATTAGAGTGTTCACTAGGCTCTGAGCCTATTGGTTGCTATGAGCCCTGTGAATTAAAGATGGTAACTTATTTGCTGACACCTATACTTACAGGGGCCATACACATTAGAAAGATGTAATTGTCTAGCAAAGTTTGTTCTTTTGAGGAAGGAGGTGCGGTTAAATGGCCAAGTAGAGATGGTTCTTAGTAGATTGTTTAAAAATTTCACGTCCTACCTGTTTATAGGTTAGACTCCATTAGCTTTGGCTCACTTCCTAAAGATAGGGGGGATTAGGGTCATCAGGAGAAAGAAAATTGGATCAAGGCAGCCATAGAGACCAAAGAGGTCAATAGTACACAGGAGGAGGAACATCAGGGTTCTGGTTTTGGTAATGGAGAATAGGAAAGAGCAG